ATACACTGTATGAGCAAATACAAACCATGGTAGTGTCATATCAGCATATGAGCAGATAAAATGATAAAAAAATCATAAAAGTTTTACTCTATGATATTGATAGATTATTATTCATTCAATTAAATAAGTCTTAAAGTACCGAATGAAGAACAATGCTACCTGACTCTCCATGTCAGTTTCCCCAAGAAATGATTAAGGAATGCTGGGTAATAATATAGGAGGGGCACTTGAATGGGTAATACTAAATTACAGTAAGTACATTGACATGTTTAGTTTTTGTGTAGTCAAGTTACAGTTTTCATCGAATACATGTTGCATGTCATGTCTTTTGGAATGTGCGCACAAAGCTCTTGATTGTTTATGATAGTATGATTATTAATGAAGCCAACCTGCATTACCTAGATGAATTAAAAAGATTAATTATTGTTTTAGTCCGACTTGAATCAGAAAGTGCACATAAATATACTTGATACTCATATTACATTTCAAAATTATTACTTATATTCGCAATAAAAACATTCATAATCAGAGGCAATTCCATAAAATAAATACATGTATTACTCGTCACCTATTAAAATAATTACACTGTTCAATGAGCCCTAATGTTAAGTGTGACCAAAAAAGGAAGGGGATGGGAGAGGAAAGCTGGGCCTGGGTGTGTCTGCTAAATGTTTGATGAGTGCTAATGCAGCACTGCAGTAGAGCAGACGCTGGTGATATATAACATCGCAGCATGAGCTTTGGTGCAAGGCTCACTCTCTTCTCTCTCTCACTACCCCCTTTGCCTTGGTGACTTGTGCTGAGTCATACAACAGAGTGAGACAGTGGTTTGGAGGCACAGAAGATGCAGTGCAGATGGAACGAGCAATGCGTGCATTAATGTGAAATGATTGGTGACAAAGTAGGATAGTAGCTCGTCATGCTAATTGATTAAAGAGCTGTGAGAAGAGCAAAGGAAAAGAGTGCAAAGTGTATTGTAGTTTTGCAATAGCATTTGAATTAACATTAGCAGACTTAGCAGTGTAGCCTACCTGATAAATAAGCTTAAAATTTATTGCAAACAAAATGAAGAGCTGAATGTACTAGCATTTGGTTGGCTTTTTTTCTCATCACTTTCCTTTATGTCTTGCAGTCTGCATGTAAAAAGCGGTCACATGACTGGGACACCGAGCTTTCCGGAAAGCAGGAAGTGAGTGGCAGCCATGGAGGACACTAAGAGACAGTGCTCTGTCCCCCAACTCCCAGAGCAAGAGACTAAAGTTCAATCTCTCTTCTCTCTCTCATTTAATCCATCCATTCATCCCTCTATTCCTCTTTCCTAATTCACTCTCACTCAGCTACCATATCAATGAGGTCTTGTGCCTCACTGGACTTATCAAGTGATGTCCCCTATTCCCACTTTCCTGTTTTTTGCCAAATTGCTTCAGATGCCATGTTTCGACGTGTAACTTACGATGGACATTTTCATTTTTTTATTAGTTGTTAAGCAGTCTGCCGAATGGAGAGAATATGTATGTGTGGATCTTGTATGAGCTAATGTGTGTTTGTGATGGAGTAGGAGGGTTGTTATTTTGTATATTGTATTTATATCTAAAATATTCTCTCAACCCTCTCAAAAACATTCTAACCCTCTAGAAACCCATTGAAATTATGATGTCATGCTGGTGTAAAATTACAAAATATTATTTAGACAAGTAATTTGAGCAAATATGGTACAGATACACCTTCTACAGCTATAGTAAATGAAAAAGTGCATAATATGCTGTGGCTGTAATGTAAAAATGAGGTCAAATTCAGTGAACACTGAAACACAATATCAAGCCGTTATCATCTCCATGCTCACTGTAGATATACCACTTTTCTGTCCCTTACTGTGAAATGTTGTATTTTTATTATGTATATTTATCATGCACAATCACAATGAACGATTTTACCATTGATGCGTGACATTTGATATTTTAAGAGTCAATTTGATTTTGCTTTTAGTGGTACCCTGTGAAAATAGATGATCACGATGATGATAAACGCCTGCATGAGTAGGGATTGTTTAAAAAGGGACATTTTATTGTCCTCAACATACATGTGCACTTCACTGTTTGACGGCCTTAGCAAAATGCATGTTTTAACACCTAAAATGCACCTGAGGTTAAGGGAAAACTGTGAGAAAATTGTGCGAGGAGAATTGTATTTACACCATCTATTGGTAAACTCCAACACAGGTTGTCCAGTTACACGTGGGTTTGATTCACATATAAGTGGGTAGTCAGTAATATAGTGTAGAATTTTTTTCCCCCGCATTTCTAATCTCTGTAACAAGGACTGTTATTTCTTTGAAAGACATGTAGAAGCCTTATTCTCAGTCTCTTTGAAATGAGTAGTATTGTTGCCATACATGCAGACAATTATGGCAAAGAAAAGCATTTCAAAATATGTAATTTGACAGTTGTTGCATATTTGGATGATGATGGTGGCAAACTGTTAAAGAAAACGTTTAGACTGTCAGAAAGCAAATGACAGAGACTGAAAAGGGGATTCCTATCTTCAATAGAAAAACAGCTCTGCTACTACTGTCAAGCTTTGAATGAACAACCCCCTCACATTATTTTCTTAGCTTTTTATAATACAGTCTACTGTGAAGCTCTTTAACGTTTGTACAAATTGTATACCTATGTACCTTAAGTCATGTTGTAATATTAACAAATAACCAATGAAAGCATTAAGGAATGTTATAAAACCAGTAGCATGAGCCTCACCACTTTTTGTATTCTTCAAGCTGTTAATAGTATGGACACAAAATCATGTCTATATTTCATTCAAATAAAGCTAGTGTAAATCAAGCTGACTAGGTTTTTTTTTCATTACCCTTCTATGTGGTTTTGTTTTTGAGCGTGTATCGCCAGGTGGTGGGAGGATTCTGAAAATACAAAGTGAATATAACTGAAATGGCATGAGTAAAATGCTGGGAATATTCAAGCAGGGTAAACATTAAGTTCAATACTTTTTTGCAAGTTTTGATGTAGTGGCACCGCAATGGTGCCATCTAGTGGCTCACATAACTAAATTTAAACGAATAAATAAACCTATGCTGTTTTGCTTTTCAAAAATAAGCAGCACTGCTATTTTGTAATATTAATTTATACTATTATGTGTATCCCTCTGATTGTTAATTTCACATGGATGGAGGAACAAAGGCAAAATATTTGCCCTCATGATTGGTTATGTGAGAAGGATCCACAGTTTACCAAAATCCTGTACAAAATTGCCTAGCAGAGAATGGGCTTAAAGTTTGGTGACAGTAAGACTTTTTAATATTCTCTAACGCTCACCAAGACTGCATTGATTTGTTAAAAAATAGAAATACAGTAAAAACATAGTGAAATATTACAATTTAAAATAACCACTTTCTATTTATTATTTCAAACGTAAATATTTTAAATTTGTATATATTTTTAAATTTGCTGAATAAATATATTTATTTATACTCAACCCACACTTTTGAACAGTAGTGTATATTAAAGAAAACAACATGCACACTTCAAAAACATAAGTATTTATTATCATTATTCACAATGAAAATGCAAAGGAAGTATTTTTTTCCAGAGACAACTGTTCAAGTTCCTGAGGAGCAAGAGATCACAGTATACTTGCCTTGGCTTTGGGGTTTGTGCGTTTGAGGGGGCACCTTTACCCCTCTCCTCCCCTCCCTATAACTGCCTCAATGGGTAACAACTTGCATATGTACAAATAATAAAGAGTTGTAACAAGACTACAGAAAAAAGGCATTCCATTGCATGTATGATTACACATAATTTGGACAAGGCCTCCTCCTGTCCCTTAACATCACACTTAAATTTATTTGTAACAAAATAAAGCAAATGGTCCTTCCTGGGCTCTAATTAGCTATTCAGTAGTAACTTAACTCACAGTGCTAAAATATATTCCTAGGAGATCTTTACAAGGAGCAAGATGGAAGAAATATTTAGCATTGATTGTAAATTGCCCTGGTTTAAAATGGTTAAAAAAAGACATTTCCTGACGTAGCACAAGTATAATCAGAGTAGTCAGGGATCTTTAGTAGATATCAGTGCTTTAACAGCATGACCTCACTGTCAGTTTCATTAGAACATAAAGACCGTCAATGCAGAGAGGACAAACATACAGACACTTGTGCTACACTAAAATGGATAATATTCGACAGTAAATGCATTGATCAATATACAACCTTTGAGATTATAAAATTCTTTGTAAATAAAGCACTGTACATAAAATTAGAAAAGTTATACAAGGCTCAAAAATAAGCAAATTAGGAGCATACTCGAGCAAATCGATTTCATGGCAAAATTCAATCTGGGAACAGTGACAGAAATGTTTCCCTTCAAGCTACGTTATGTACATGTGTACGATTGGCCACAGTGTTTTCTAAATTCACACACAGTAACAGCTTTGATTAAACACACAGCACAACTGTAAACATGTTGAAACCACAGTGAGAGCAACACAACCAGATTACTGATGAGCTGCTGTTGCCGGCAAACAATTTTACGGCATGGATGTTTATCATTTAGGTGGTATTGGCACAAAAAAAGTTCTGTAGTAAACGTGAACAAATGTGAAATATACCGTGGGTCACATTAACTCTAATATAAATGATGTTCGACAAGTAATCTGGCACTGAATGAAGGTTATCTACAATTGCACCTTGCACTTGCTAACCCAAAGCATGTAATAAAAAATTAGAAACAGAAAGAAAAACTTTGAGATCTGTGGAACTCCTCAGAGGCACTGGAAGATAAAGTTGACTTTGATCCTCGAACCTTTGATGCAAACTTCAGGTTAGTCCGATATTGCATGTCCAAAACCGGTTGAGGTAGTGAAAACATTTCTTAAACCAATATCCACACTCAGCTGCTCAGATCTCATTTTTCATGGAGGCGACATACAAAATCATTTTTGGTGCTATGCTCATGAACTTAGGATTTTGAGGATTACTTTTTATTTTGAGGATTACTTTTTTTTTTTAGCATTCTATCGAGTTACCAATCCAACCTAATGTAAAGTCTAGACTGATCTGCACTGAGACGAACGCAGGATTCCAGCAGTTCACTACATCCTTTTCCTGTACAGTTAGACAGAGGAAGAGCTTTAACCGCAACAAAAACTGCAAATGACCCGAGTAACCAACAAAACCCTTGAAAGAAATACAGAATGAAGCAGGAATTTGACTTGTTGGACTAAACATACAGTAAATCTGTTATAAATATACAAACCAAATTTATGTTAAAAAAAAAAGAATAACGCAGGAAGCAGTATTTTTCAGCAAAAGTAAAATCCCCAGAAAAAATTACATATATATAACAGAAATTTCGATCTGTAGCTTAACTTCTGATCATAATTTACCCACAATTCAAATGCAATACATTAAAAAACAAACTATATTTTGAAGTGGATGAATATGGAGCTACTCCACAAAGACTTCCTCTGTTTTGATGGGTGTTATCAACGGCCCACCATTGGATGAATCCGAGCCTTCGTCTTTGGCCAGGTTGTCACTGTTCAGCCCACTGACGCCCATTTCTCCAGCCACTCCACCCGAGAGCGCCCCCTGGTTGAAGCACAGGTGCTTGATCACCTCATTGGGGCTGGAGAAGGTCATTTCACACACATTGCATTTGTACGGTCTCACTGACGAGCCTAGAAACAGCGCCTCCATTTGGCTGGAGTCATCTGCCCCGCACAGCTCCATGCTCTGTCGGTCCACCATGGTGTACGCTGGCTCCGAGCTCAGGTTCATGCAAACGTGCCGCGCCGCCTGGTTGGCCCGGCAGAAGCTCTTTCCGCAGGCGCTGCAGCGGTACGGCTTGCCTGTGTGGATGTACATGTGCTCTCTCCAGTGGCTTTTCTGGATGAACTTGCGGCCACAAGTGGAGCACTCATATTTCCTCCGCTTCACTTCCCGCTCCATGTCAGCCGCACCCTCTAGGTTGTCAATATCAGCAATATCGGATGGAGGAGGTGTGTCCGCCTGGGGCTGCGCCGTGTACAGGCTGATTGCAGTTGTCGTCGGGATGGGCATGGCGGTTTCAGGATGCGCCGAGTCTTTTAAGTACAGATGCTGCTCGCTGTCACTGGCCACATCCACAATGATGGGAGTGGCTGCGGAGGCTTCGCTGCTTCGGAGAACTTCCTCCACCTCTGGTGTGGCGGCACCTCCGGTCGCCATGGGGGAAGCCGCACCGACGGACTCTAACACAAGGGGGAGCATAGCCTGAGTGTGTAGAAGCAGGTGCTCTCGTAAAGTTCCTCGCTGAGTGAAGCGGCCCCCACAGACGTGGCACGTATAATGCTTCCTCAGAGAGGTATTTCTTCTCATGATGCTGGGCTTCACATGCAGAATGGTGTTGGTGTTCAGGGAACATGACGGGGCCTCACCTGCAGATGTTTCCATCTCTGACCCTTCCCTCACAAACTGACTGATGCTCGCAGATGCTTCCACCTCCGTTTCTGTCAGATCGTGCCTGTGCTTAGATCCAGGCCGCATCAGTGAGGTAGCTTTGTTTGTGGTTACGCCCTTCCCGTCGAGTAAACCCCCACCTTCTAAGTCGAACGGCGAGGAGAGATGCGTTCTCGCTGAGAGGCGGTTTGTGAGTGTGGCCTGTTGGTCTGATATCTGAATGCCATAGAGAGAGGACGAAAGGGGAAGGTTGACCTCAGGGTGTGCCTGAGTTGCATGGTTAGACAGACTTGCCTCCTGAATAAGAGGGTAAGCATGGAGGAACTTGACGCCCTGCTCCAGGCGAGCTGGGTCGATAAGCTGTGTCGCCAGTTTGCCGGTGTACATCAGATTGAGGAGGTAGCTGAAGATGTCGGGCTGAATGTCAGCAGGCTTCAAGCGGACGCAGTCACTGGTCGAGAAGACAAAGATTCAACGTCAAAAAAACACCGATCTTTGTGCTGTGGAAGTGCTTTAATACTTGCTTATTAGAAAAGAGCAAATTTTAGCACAAAATATTTATTGTTCATTTTTAAAGGGTTAGTTCACCCCAAAATGAAAATTATACCATAACGTACTCACACTCAAGCCAACCTAGGTGTATATGACTTTCTTCTTTCAGACAAACACAATCAGAGTTATATTAAAAAATATATCCTGGCTCTTCCCAGCTTTATAATGGGAGTGAATAGAGCCGGAGTTTTTGAAGCTCGAAAAAGCACATCCATCCATCATAAAGGTAATCCATACAGCTCCAGGAGGTTAATAAAGGCCTTCTGAAGCGAAGTGATGTGTTTTTGTAAGAAAAATATCCATAATTATAACTTTATAAACTATAATCACAGGCTTCCGGTAACGGCCGTATGCGAGTCAAGTTCCGGCAGAAGTGCTGACACATGACGTATGGATGTAGTAGAACACATGAGTGACCATACTACACATGACGTAGGATGTAGGAGAAGCATAAGCTTAGGTGAGAGTTAGGGGTGGGCGATATGAGCAAAAATTCATATCACGATATTTTTCACTGTCTGGACGATATCGATATTATATCGCGATATGAGAGAGAAAAAAATGGAATCACATTTTAGTACACCTTAGTTAAATTACAGGCAAAATATGTATTTTAACACTAGATAACTAGAAAAAGGTGAGGCATTTCATTGGACATAGACCTGAAATGTGTTTTTTTATTGTGCCATTTTTTTTCTCAAAAAGTGCAAACGTGCAACATGAGGTAGGCCTGAATGCACGTGTTATGTCTTTCCACTTTTTGCTCGTCTTGTCATAATGAGAACCGGCAGCGAATGAAGACTTTATTGATTTCTGAGTGAGAGCCGTCTTCGGGTGTGCTCTGTCTCCGGGAATATCTGTTGTTATAGTTTTGCTTTTTTAAATTAGTTTTTATTTTAATATCGTTTTCAATTTTGCTTTAAATTTCAGTTTAGTTTTAGCTAGTTTCATTAACGGTTTTGTTAGTTTTTATTTTGCAAACACATTTCTATATAGTTTTTATTTTATTTAGTTTCAGCTTTAGTAATAATAGTTCAGCTTTAGTAGAGCAAACAGAACACTTCCAGTGTAGACCAAAGCGAGACGTTTAATTTAAGTTTAATGTTTGCACAGATTACAGTTAACTCTTGTGCAGACATCTTAATAATAAAAATAAAATAATGGGTTGAGATTGAACAAAGCACCAAATAAATAGAACTTAAAAGTATACAAGAAAAAAACAATGAACATTTTCATACAAAATAATTCATTAGTGTAAGGAGACAGAATAAAGGCCTACAGTTTGTACAATATAAAACCCATTACGTCTATGGAGAGTCCCCACAAAGATAGTGGACCAGTGTGTGTGTATGCGCGCGCTTATGTGTGTGTCGTGTGTATGCGCGCGCTTATGTGTGTGTCGTGTCCTGTTATTCATAGCCTAACGTTACATTGCGGGGAAATGTCTCCACGTGGATAATATTATTAGCAGTAAATGTTTTGTAAAAACAAAGATAATAATTGCAGCTTTCAGCCTTTCAACCTTCATGAAAACATGACATCTCAAACATACAGTAGCCTGGAACTTTAACGTTTTTTTGTGCTTGAGGAACTTGTTTTGGTGTTGCACCCGCGTCTCGCAAATGAAACGGCATTCTAAAAATGCTGCGCTCAAGTTAAAAGTCAAACTTGCGTTTTATTACCTTTGGTATTTCCCATTCCACGACAAAATATGCATCCTTTATGAACAGCCGCTTAGCACTAGCTATGTGTTATTGAGCGCGTCACAGGACAGCGGTTAATCGCCTCAGCAACTTCACGCGTATGAAGCGCCAAATCAGCCACTTCCTTAAACAGCGTATTCGATTCTGTATCGTCATTAGTGTTAACAGTTGTAAAGAGTACCAAATTGAACAAAACAATAAAACTGCAAAATTTGAATTAATGAATACGGTATCCTCGGTATCGCAAAATCCATATCATGGCACAACATAATACCGGTATTCACGTTCATACCGGTATAGCGCCCACCCCTAGTGAGAGTAGATGCCTCTCCTGGTTCAAACAAACAGGGCTGGGCAACAAACTCAAGCTCCTCTGACATTTCTCTTTAAAAATTCTTGCTTTAGACTTCTAATTCAAGACAGGTGTTTTGTTTGCCTCTATCCTCTGCGCTCCCGTGTTCGTCAATACGTCATACGTCAGGTCAGAGGTTACTCCTCTGCCGGAACTAGACTCGTGTACGGCCGTTACTGGAAGCGAGTGATTATAGTTTAGAAAGTTATAAACATGAATATTTTTCTTACAAAAAATTGCTTCGCTTCAGAAGGCCTTTATTAAGCTCCTGGAGCCGTGTGGATTACTTTTATGATGGATGGATGCGCTTTTTGGAGCTTCAAAAACTAGATAGCTATTCAATAATATTCACTATTGGGAGTGAATATTTAGGTCATTCACTTCCATTATAAAGCTTGGAAGAGCCAGGATATTTTTTTTTATATATTTATTTCCGATTGTGTTTGGCTGAAAGAAGAACATTTAATACACCTAGGATGGCTTGAGAGAGTAAATTATGGGATCATTTTCATTTTTAGGTGACCTATCGCTTTAAGGGATTATTGTGCCTTAAAAAAACACTTCTAAAATATTGATCTTAACAGTACTAACATGCACAATCTCTATTGGTATCAATTATCAATATTGGATATTTGTGCATGTTCATTTCCTTTATAACATTTTACATTTAGATTACCTTTGCCATCATATGACGCTCACCTTTATTTAACATTTAAAAACACTAATTAAATAATAATGATAAATGTAATCTTTAAGGCTGGAATACACTACACAACTTTTGCCTAGATATTTCCCCCGATCTGCAGTCTGGATGAGTTAGTTTCCAAAAGGCAGAGCCATCCTGCAGATTTTGGGCAGTTGGAATTGGCAGATTTTGAAAGGGCACAGACTAGTGTTTTTAGCTTCACACAATGATTCTATCCAGTCAGAGGATATTGAACAGGTTTAATATTTTGGGCTGATTTTAGAACACATTGTTTTTATTTGTCATGCGTCTCCTATCAATGAAGCGTATGCTTTTTTCTGCGCGAGTTTGTTGTGTTCGGGGGACAGCTTGAAAGTCTGGTGCAGTTGCGCTATATGTCAGAGCGCTGACCACGAGGCTACCGGCTCCGACATGATACAGTTTTACACTGTAATCATTTACAAACTCAGCAAGTGTATGATGCCTAGTGTTTTAAGAAGTGTTCTGATTTGAAAATTTGTGTAGTGTATTCCAGCCTTTAGCAAATCTCAAAATGATTATCAATTTTTATACAGCGAATTATTATGTTGTGATGCCTAAATTCATTGTAGCATTGGAAATGATTGATTTTAGTAGTTAGTGTTTTATTTTATTTTTACTTAAACAAAATAGTATAGAATTGTAATGTTGGTCATTTATTGATTATAACATGAGAATAATTATCACCTTACCATATCAACACATCCCTAGCTTAGGCACAAATTGGACTTTAAAAATAACATGCAAAGCTTTTACCTGTCCTGGTGTATAAAGAGCATTCTGAAGTAGTTCGAGAATGCGGCCAGTACGGCCTTGTGTGCTTTGAAAAAAACATCGCCGATGGCGACCGTGCAGTCACACAGGAAGCCAAACTCCCTCTGTGCGTTGAGCTGCTGAAGAAGGATAAGACCATGATTGGCCAACTCCATACTTCCACCTACACAGAAAGGGCCAGAGATGACAGTCAACTTCCTGTCTACTACAGACCACAATGCACCAAAAAAAGACTAGAGTGAAAGAAGGTTGTTAAGTTGTCTGTTGACCTGGACTTAATCAGCAGTGAACAGCCACAATTATGAATTCAACACTGTTGGATTAACAAAAAGCTCAACTCTAAGGAACACTTAGCATAGGAATATTACAACCAACCAGTAATATTGCTCATTCTTAGGGTTAAGGATTTGAACAAACTTTAACCCTTAACCCCAAGCATTACACTTTGGCACAAACTCTTCCCCCATGATTTGTGCTACTAACATGAACCTTAAACTGTGTGTCTTGTTGGGAATGTGAGCTGTTACTTCAAGCGATAGGATTTAATTACAGTGCTTTTAAGGCACTCTGATACAGCATTTCATTTACTAAAGCCTAAACACTAATTATTTTGCTACTTTAGACTGGCAAATCTACTTCTCATTCACACTGAGCAATTCCTATTGATCAAGCTGAAGGAAAGTTTTGCTGAGTATGCATTCTCAAGACATTTACAATCAGAAAAGCTGTATGTGTGGTTTTCATATTGACCCTCTGTTTGAGATATATCTTGAAAAATGTTCAGACCTTGAATTATAACAAATCAGTTTAAATGTATTCTTCATATAGAATAAAATTATAGGAAAGGTTTTAATTCTAGGGTAAGAGAAACAATAGGATAGAAAACTATATTATCTGAATATTTTCATATCATAAGAAAAATTCCTTAGAAAAGATATTTAAGACAACTAACTGGTTATTCAGCTTGCAAAAAGACACTCAGACTTGTAACCCTGAAAACACAGTCCCAACAGAGCGGTCAGATACAGCCAAGGGCCAAACATCTGAGGAAACCTTTGAACCCTGATCCCTGAGGTTATTAACCCTCAACTACCAGAACCAGCTCAACAGCCTCTGTGCCTTGAGTGTCCATTAGCCTAAAGGTCGATCACAGGCTTTGGCTTTGTGTGTCACATGACTGGCTCTTCAGACAGCATTCCTGAGGCTACTTACACACAACCCCTCTTGGGTGGAGAAAGGACGCACCCGTAGAGTCTACAGACTCACTGTCAGTGGTCTTTGAAAGCATGGGCTGTAACGTCACATAGCTGTGTGTAAAAAGACTGGGGGCGGGGTGACTCTTCTTCAATCATCCAATCCCATCAGTGATTTGGACTATACTGAGACCTACTGGCCTGGCCTGGATGAAGTTCACTTCACATCAAAGCCGTTTGCTTATCTTTTGTTTTGTTCATTATCATTTTTTGGTCTTCAACACATACACATATATAAATATTGCATAAAATGATTCAATCCCAATTATATTTTGTGTTATTGATATTGGTGCGATATTGGTGGCATGCTCTAAAAAAATGTTTGGTTGCTTTGTAAAGAACTTTGAACACTGTCTGAAAGTGGTTGGTTTGGTTAATAGCTTTTTCTTTTAAGCAGCTACAAAGTTTATAAAAAAAATGACAAAATTTGAATTGAAGCAAAAAATGGTATTTAAAAAATTGGACTAAAAGAAAAAGGTACAAGATCGTGTATTTAACTGCTTTAATGAGAGAAAGAATTACAATCCCATAAAGCATTGCGAATTAAATTGAGTCAAATTAAAAACAAAGGGGGAAAATATAATACTAGCCTACTTATTTAAAGATGCTGATTATATATTTATATATAAAGCAACTGTTAAAAAAGTATGTTCTATATAATATGAATATACTACTCATCTCACATTCTGTTTTTCGGCTAGTATAACAGTGAATAAGGCATATTTGGACGCAGAATGAATGTCATTCGTGGAGCTTCATGGAAGCTGGCAGGCACTAAAAAGATGTTTTGGCAGGCGATTCTCTGTTTGGTGGAGATTCTCTGCAGAATCATGGGTAATGTATTTTTCCCTCCAGAAATTTTACAGTTGGATTATAAATTGAAATAATGCAGACTGACGGCTTCACCAAAAGCATATACCACTGACTACAATCTTGTAGCTCACAGTATGTCTGTCTGTAAAGGTTTATGTTATTGTTAAAAATCAATTCCCATATAGAGAAAATTTATGGAATTTTTACTTTGTGAAACCGACTGTTGTACTTTACTGCTCATTGCATTTTGTCATGTGATGTCAATATGGCAGCACCTAATGAGGAAGTAGAATAAAACTGCTCTTTCTAGAAGACTGATGTCGAATGGGTGTACATCATTTCTAATATTTCCTAAAAGTCTGTTCATTTCTTTTTGGTCTACTTTTAATTCGCAAAACTTATTGAGTGGACCTTTAACTTTAGTTTTTTACTCAAGTCACCAAGCTTTCAGCAATCATCAAAATTTGACGGAATATACAAACAATGACATGACAGATTTTATGCAAGAACACTTATAAACCGCTTACAGGTGTTTCCTGGTACCGAAACATATTTCAAACGAGCATTGCAGTTCCTCTTAACTCCAGCTCCAAACCAATCGCTACAGCTTCAACTTGCTCTCATTGTGGTTTGTAAACTAGCTCCTCCCACTACGGAGACACGTGGAACGGACAGATCTCCCGCAGAGACCGACCACTTCCGCAATCTGCTTTTCTTCGCAAATAGAAAATAAACCGTCAAAAACTGAAACGTGATGACTGATCCGATCACGCGCAGACGCTCGCTGCTCGACCAGCACATGATCCAGCAACCTTATCTCGAATATAGCGTAAAATCACAACAATAACAACGATATAAACCCAGATCGGAGCTTAGCGAGCATCAGAGACGAGAAGCAAAAATAAACGGAGCTTCGTGAAACGGACACACACACACACACACACGGGGGGAAGGGGTGGTCACCGAATAAATAAACTAAACTAAAAAAACAACAAATACAGAAATGAACAGTTAACGATAAAGGTTGACTGGTGTAAACACCCACGTACCTTTCCTCCGCTAGAGCGTGTGGAGTTCGGTGAGTCGATGTTCAGTACCGGGGGACTTGTCCGTTGGGCTCGCAGCTGCTCTGTTCCTCTCAAACGCAGCATTGGCGGCGATGGTCGTCGGTGTTTTCCGGTCGGGTTACGTTACAATCACATGACTGTCTAAAAGGGCTTAAAACAGCGGTTGTAAAACCCACTTCCCTGGGATGCTAAAACAAACGGTCTTTGGCGCTAAGAGCAGCTAAAATGAGTGAACTGGTGAACGAGGTGTGTCTGTCGTTCTCCTCGTGTGTTCACGGTGCGGCGGAGATGAATGTTGAGCTATCATTCAGAGGCGACGATCGTTGGTGAACGTTACACATAAACGGATTTTAGTGGAGTTGGATAGCCGTAGGTCACGCTACCCACCCCCACATGAAGATAACGTATCGAGACAGATACATGCAGCAGGGCTAACGTTATTTGCATTTCAGTTGACAGACTGAGCACTTTTACAGCCAAGAGAAACGCGCGTATAATTCAAAGAACGATGATTTCACACCCACAGGCTACAATCAACTTAATGAGGCGGCTTATTATTATTATGTTAAAAATTATACATTTAAAAACTCGTCAAGTTTTTTTAAATGGCGAACAAATAAATATGGAAATAAATCATAAGCCTATTTATTTATTTATTCATAATTGAGTGTGTGTAATGTTTATATATATATGTGTGTGTGTGTGGGTAAAATAAGTTTAGTCATTTTTAACCCTAACTTATTTAAAACATGGTTAAAAAATGTATTTAAAAAAATGGTTTGGAGAAGACCATCAGATTATTTATTTATTACCATTTTTGCAGGTTTAGTCCTCCATTGGTTTACATCTTTTTATGTATTTGCAACAAGTGTTATTAAACATTGTTTATAAAAATGGTAAGAGTCCTATTAATTTTTTTGGTCACGTCTTTAAAAGATACTTGTTTGAAAATCTTACCATAATACCATAATAAAAAAGCAGATTTTTTTTCTTTAAATTTTTGTTTTCCTTATGATACCAGAAAGATGATCCCATTCTATGTTCTTCTCACTAATCAATTAATTTTAATGTAATTATTTGGACCATCCTGAGGTTCTTTATCTATACGTTAGATATTATTCCTTTAAATGCATTTAGCCTTTAAATAGCTACATTTTGTTGTAAGAGGAATTAATTTGATTTCCAGAATGTCTTTTTTAAGAATCGCTACCTTGAGAAAATCACTAGTTCCATTCTGAACAGTGCAAGAGGTGAAAAGATGTACATTTTCCTTTCCAGAGTTTCTGAGCTTTCACCATGCTGAGGGCAACAGGATGTGAGCTCGCTTGACCAGGCCTGCTAAAGATGTCAGGAAATGAATAACACTGAGGAATCACATGAACAAATGCATGCAAGAATTGTGAGAAAATGTTAAGAAAATATAGAAGAGTAGTCTACAGCCTGGAAGTTTAAGACAGCAAAATGAGGATGCCAACTTTAAGTTGTGGGTTTGCGAAAAAAGAACAAGGAAAGGGAAGTTGAGGGGTGGTGTCTCAATACAGAGAAAACAAGCTGTCTGTTAGGGCCATGTGGTCTGGTGGGGTGATAACGGCATCTGGCCTGGGACTATGGTTTCTGTTTCCAATTTCTGAAAATCACATTAGAATCCAAAAATATGGTTTAAAATGGTCTGTCTGTAGACATAATAATAAAAATGTAACTGTTTAGTATGTTAGTATAGTACCTATATCAAGCGAGCAACATGTTTGTGCATGTATATTAGATACATAAAACCTAAGACCTGATTTATCTTTTTTTAAATCAATGACAGTTAATAAGTAACAACCCATTAGATTCATATTTAAGGTCTCTTTCATGAAAAGGATATCCTGAGACTACTAACCTGCTGAAAACGTTTAAACCAGACTATGCTGGTCTTTTCTGGATAAGCTATTGTTTAGCTCTGTGGCCGGCTGGTCACCCAGCTTGATCAGCTGAAAAGTGCCCAAAACCCTCTGAAACCAGCCAACACACCAGGCTGAGAGGCCAACTACAAACCATCTGGTTAAAATGTTTTCTTTTTCCCCCACCTGTGCAGGCTTTGAATTGAATTATAATTAACTAAATAAAAATCACAATGTACTTTGTGAATGCATCTGAATATTGTCATGTCTGATTTGTTTTTGTGACCAACATGGCTTACACAGACCGGCGGCCACTAGAGGACAGTAGTGTCAATGATCACGAGAATGACGAGATACTGATAGCTCAAATTGGCTTATAATTCCTCGTAAAAAAACAAACAAATACCATGCTCATTTGTGTGATTTAATGTATCACCGCGATATGCGAGTGAAGGACACAGAGTGTATTAAATTATTTTATACCTTTACATTACATTGTTAATTGGTCACCATCGTTCTTAAATAAAGTTTGTTGAAAATCTCTTGTCCTTCCTGTTTGCATTGCAAAGATGGAGGTAGAGGGAACGGTCCCCCCGCTGTCACTCTCTGCTAAATTTGAGGGGTATGTCTTTATAATCATAGTTTAGCTTCCATGCTCACTGTTGACGTAATTTATATATAATTAGGCTACGGCAAGAAATTCATCGTGTTGTTCAATTGCAATGAATGCATGCTACGTTTAGTCAAATAGGCAGCCTGACAGCCTGCCATCATTAGTCCCACAGATCATGTGTGAAAAGGAGATTTTCAAAAATACCATTTAATCAGTTCTGGCAATTTTACAGTATAGGGAGTTGTAACCTTACCTGTAAATTACCGATATGATGATGTGTGTGTGAAGAAAAAAGAAAAAAAGAGATTATCGGTAATTAGCACGCTTTGCACTTACCACTGCGTACTAAACAGCATACTGTATAAGTAACTATTGTGCGTCTCGTTTTTTAAAGAGCAAAAACAGTGTCTGATCATCCCCTTACGCCTGCCAGCCCATAAGTAAAACATAATGGTCAAAATGGGACAGATACAGTGAATACATAGAGAAACTGTGGATGAAGAAAATGTCGCAGATATGCTGTATGGATATGCGACTAACCAGCTTTTTAGACACTTTGTGACAATGACAACCAGTACCGCCTTTTATCACCTAATATAAAATACTTTATTTACTACTTTTTAGATGTAGCCTTTCTTATTCCTGAAATTACTAGTGCTAGTGAAAGTTATGTCTCGTTACAGCTAGGAGTTTTTTCATAACAAATGTATCTTTTTGTCTGAATCATAGAATAAAATAAAAAAAACTAAACAATAATTACACACAAATATTTAATTATTTGCTATTTTTAGGTCCTTTGCCTATCTGACTGTGAGAGATAGACTACCAACCATACTCACAAAAGTGGTAGACTCTTTACATCGTAATAAAGACAATTTCTTCAAAGAGTATGGAAAGGCATGTATGATTTTTCATTTATGTTCAACATTTTTACAATATTCAATATTTTCTCATGTTATTCATAAAATAAAATAAGCTTGTTCTGACAGTTTTCTCAGATGTAACTTCTAGATGATGTGTTTGATCAGGAGGGCATCCAGGCAGAGAAGAGAGCCATCTCCTTCCTGTCCAAGCTGAGGAATGAACTGCAGACAGACAAACCTGTGCTGCTTCTGACTGATAATGCTGAGGACACCGAGGCCTGGAATGAATACTTGGGTAGACAGCAGGACCTGATGGAGGACGGGCAGCCTGTCAGCTGGTTCAAGTCACCATGGCTTTATATGGAGTGCTACATGTACCGAAGGATCCAAGAGGCTCTGTATATGAAGTAAGACAAATCAGCTTAATACATAATGAATACAATTTTAAATTAAAAAAGGCCAGAGAAGTTATACTTGAGTGAAATTAGTACTGTCACAATTTTACTCAAAAATCAAAGCATCTTAAAGTTTAGATTAACTTTTAGTATCTAATCATTAAAAAAAAAACCTTTTTGTATTTAAAAATAACAATACTGAGTAAAATAACCTGTTTAATAAAATTTTTTTCAACTTTTCAGACTATGTAAAGAGACAATCTAAAAAAAATCATGATAAAATCATTTTATCATGAAGACCATTGAAATATGACTATACATTATTGTACTGTACAGCTCTAAATGAAATTGTGATGAGTAAAAAAGTATGACTTGCTTTAGAAATACTATAGCATGGTAATTAGTGAAGTAGTTTATACCATTTTTTGTCTATTTTTAAATCAAAGAATCATTTCAAGTGTTATCTTAAATGTGCTTTAAGTTGTTTAATTTTTTATATTTTGTTAAATCAAGGGTCATTTATTTAAATGCTCTCCGTCGCATTGATACATTTTGAATAGTAAAATTCATTTATTTCGTTTGTTTTACTTTGTTTCCTAAAGTCCACCGATGGATAACTTTGACGGCTTTAAGGAGGGAAAGACGCAAAGCTTCTTTAAATCTCAACAAGCAATTAAATCCGTCTGTACATACCTTCAAGAGCTCATCACCAACATGGAGAACATGACTGAGATGCAGCTGCGAGAGAACTTTCTCAAGTTGCTTCAGGTTAGTATTAAGCTCTTAGCTGCAGCATAATTCAATGATCCCTGCCATTAAAAACAAATGTTTATGCGACATGGTTATGTTTCTATGACATAAGAACACAACACCAAAAACAAGGAAAATCGATTTCACTGAGCCGTAATCATTAACTTAATGACTCTCATCTTTAATTTAGAACAAAGAATCTTATTAGCCAAAATGACATCAAGTTTGCGGTGCCAAGTAACATGCCTAGGGGTGGCTATTGTTTTCACCATGTGCTTGTCTTTTTTTATTGATATTAGACTGTTGGGGATAACGTAATGTCACATAATCTTGTTTATTGTGTATTTTGTAGGTCTCTCTGTGGGGAAACAAGTGTGATCTGTCCATCTCTGCCGGTCAGGACAACTCTCAAAGGTCCAGTCCCATCGATTCTCTGCCTGATCTCCGGCGCTTCATCCTAGTGGATGACTCCAACATGGTTTGGTCAACGCTGGTTGCTGCTCAAGGGTCCGGAACCGCAGGAAAGAAGCATGCAAGAGTGGACATTGTTTTAGACAATGCTGGTTTTGAGCTTGTTACCGATCTGGTCCTTGCTGACTTCCTTGTTTCTGCCGGACTAGCCAAGCAAATCCGATTTCATGGCAAGTCCATTCCATGGTTCGTCTCAGACGTCACCAAACAAGACTTTGAGTGGACCATCATGCAGACCATGGCAGCCAATCACAAGTGGATGTCAGCTAGCGGTGTCCAATGGAAGCATTTCATGAAGGATGGCACCTGGTCCTACCATGACCACCCTTTTTGGACCATGCCCCATGAGTTCTGCGACATGGCTCTGGATGCAGCTGATCTCTACAGCAACCTCCAGGGCTCTGACCTGATTCTCTTCAAAGGAGACCTGAACTACAGGAAGCTGACTGGCGACAGGAAGTGGGACCACACGGTTCTGTTCGATCGGGCGTTAAGGGGGTTCCAGCCTGCCCCTCTCTGTAGTCTTAGGACACTGAAGGCTGATGTTCAGGTGGGCTTACAGCCGGGCCAGGCAGAGAAGCTCAACTCTCAGGATCCACACTGGATGACTAATGCCAAATATGCTGTGGTTCAGTTTTCCAGTCCACACAGAGAACGGTAGAGGTGTTTTTAAAGGAAAGAGAGTCCTCACTGATGAGGGAATTAACAGGAAGCAAGAGATTAAGTGATAAAATGCACTAATTAAAGATGCTGCTTCAGTTATCAACATGCCAAACAAATGTGTTATGATGTTTTATCTTTGCTTGTATTTTTTTTTTTATCCAACACTTTTTTTTGCTTGGAAGCAAATTATGTAATGAACCGTAACGCTTCTGCATATCAAACACTGAAATTAATATGAACCTAAATTATGTACTTGTTGATAGAACAATGAAGTTTTGAAGAGAAACCTGGCAGTCTTTTGGTCATAGTTTACAGTATATGGTTTTCTGTTTGTACTGCTGATGTGTATTGTGTACAAGTACAGTTACTTAAAGAATACAGATGTAAACATTTAGACTTGTACATCCATAACAAGACTCCACAGATGTCTTGTTTGGTTGTAGTTAAATGTTATTGTCCAAAACTCCTTGAGATAGTGAGAAAGGTGTATGTGTTTCTGGCTAAAATGTGTTTTAAAGTATATAAAAGAGGGTTTTTTTTTCTTCCAAATGTAGCCTAATAGTTTTTGGGCTTTGTATTGAGTGCATAATTGAAAAAGAAAACATTAAAGAAATACATTAAAGAAATACTGTTTTAATAAAACAATTCTAGTAAAGTAATGGCAAAACTGAATGTATGAGGACACAAATTCAAAGGGGAATTTCATGAAATGCAGATGCGCCTCCAAGGTTTTGTTTTAGCCAAGCGCTAAATCACAATCATTTGCTAATGTCAATACATGTTAACACATTATGTTTTCTGTCTGATAAAAATACTGGCCATACACCACAGTGTTTTTATTGTTTTTTCATCTTGCACTTTAAAAGCAGGTTTACTGTTATGGGCAGTGTGGAGAATTGCACCAAGATTGTTTCTTTTTAAGCTTATTTATGAGCAAATTGGAAACAGTTGCTAGTCAGGATACTGTGCTTATGTACGCACACTTGTTAAAATGGCAATTCTGTGTTTTGAATGCAATTGAACAAAGTTTAGAAATTACATTTTTCTTTTAACTCTTACAATGTAATCGTATTTAACAATTAGTTCCAGAGAAGCAGTTATGAAATTACGCTGGCAGAAATTCTGCTTTTTGATCAGTCTTGTTTTGTGTTTTTCTTTCTTAAGTTGTGTGTGGATGCTTCCTGGGTTTTCCAAGGAGCCTTGCCTCTACAGAGCAGCAAAGAAAAGAGTCAAGAACCCCTAAAGCAGTGATGTTACGTAATAAGCACATGAACGCTATCTTTTTGTGTTTAGGGGTCAGCTGAGGACTGCATGTATGCGTTTTTCTTTTCCTGGAAATCAAGGCCATGGTTTTGGTCTTTGAACTGTTCTAGTTCTAGTTCTCTTCTGGCCAGAGCTAAGCTCAGATTTAGACTTAAAGATTTCAGTTGGCTTCAAATAAATTATTGTAAGATGTATTGTTGTTTATGTAGTGTTTTTAAGCTGTGAGAAATAGACAAAAAAAAAATCAGCTAATGTTTTAATTAGTAGCATTAGTATGTTTGAGGACAGAGCTGAATATTTTAATATTTTATTCCTGTGATGGAAAAGCAGAATTTTCAGCATCATTATTACAGTCTTCAGTGTCACATTATCCTGCAGAAATCATTATAATATGCTGATTTGGTGCTCAAGAAACATTTCTTATCACCATAAATGTTGAAAACAGTTTTGCAGAATATTTTTGTGGAAACAGTGCTACATTTTTTTCAGAATTCTTTGATTAATAGGAAGTTCAAAAGAACAATGTATTTGAAATATATATATATATTAGGGCTGTCAAATGATTAATCGTGATTAATCACATCCAAAATAAAAGTTTTTTTTACATAATATATGTGGGTGCACTGTGTATAATTATTATATATATATAAATACACACACATGCTTGTATATATTTAAGAAATATTTTCATGTATATACTGTATATAGATTTATATATAATTTATATTATATATAAATATAAATATTTTATATATAAATAATATTTTTTTCTTAAATATACATGCATGTGTGTGTATTTATATATATACAAAATAATTATACACAGTGCACCCACATATATTATGTAAAAAAAACTTTTATTTTGGATGGGATTAATCGTGATTAATCATTTGACAGCCCTAATATATATATATAAATGTATAGGCCTTTACTATCACTTGATAATTGCAATGCATTCTTACTGAATAAAAGTATTAAATACTTTTAAAAATATATATTTTTGACCCCAAACATTTAAACAGTAGTGTATATTACTATAATAATAATGTTTTCCCATTTAAAGAGAAATATAAACTCAATTAGCCAAGGCCTCCCATACAAAATTGAATGATGAGCACAAACACCTACACTCTTTCCATTTCAACTTTAATAGCTGCCGGTACAGAGAACTGATTATCATCAAACAGACTTGTTTGTCCCTCGTGAACCTCTTGCAAAAATCATTCAACAAAGTTAATAAATTATTTGAAGTATAATTTCCCATGTCTGTAGCATGTAAAGTGGAAATCCAAAGGTTCTGACAAGTGAATCAGGTGGTGACCTCCTATCTCTTGTTTACCTGGTTGCCATGACCTGCTCTGAAGAGTGACCGTCAGTATCGACCTGTCTTTAATTTGTTTACCTCTTCTTTTTTTAGCCAGAGCGACAGACAGTGAAAGTAAGAAGGGCACAGGAAATCAGCGATACAGTAGCGCGGGGATGCATCAACGCTTCTTGTGATGGGGCTAAACTTATAAATCAGAGGGCTGATTTGAATTTTGGTAAGGACTTTGTAAAGGATTCAACCAATTTTTTTTTTTTTCATTTTCAAAATAAATTATATTCCATGTGCTCTGTTGATCTAGTGGTTTAAATTCAAGCATATCGTTCTATTAGTTTCAGTTGAGTTTCCTGTCCTCTCGGTTTCCTGTTTAATAGAAAGGCACCTCATCTCAGACTAGACACCTTTCAGTTGTAGTGTTGCTCATTGTGTTTTATCCTTCCTTCAGTGTAATATTTTAAGCTAGAAGAAGGAAAAGGAAAGAAGGAAAAGGTATTTTAAGAAAAAACGAAAAGGAAAAGGGAAAGCAGCCTCACATATCTTAGAAAAACATCACATTTTGACTCTCAGCCCAAGAAAGACTGGAGGAGTAGGCAGAGGAGTGGGGCGGAAGCAAAGCAGAACAAGGGAGAGAGATTTTGAGAAAGACAGTGGGAGGTGGAAAAAAAAGACTGAGCTTAAAAAGACAAACAGTCTTTTGGTGGTTGCTTATGAACAGATTGTACCCTAAGGTTGCGTGTGTGTTTCCATGGTGATGTCTGGAGGGCAGACCAGCGGAGAGGCTGCTGGTACCAGGCAGCGACACAGGACCAACCTGAACCCGGAGAGAGAAGACCTGGAGGGGCTTTCCTCACCGCCCACTGCCCACAAACTCTCGCCCATGTACCCCAAGGAGGAGCACAGCGCAGGGGGCATCAGCTCCTCTGTCAATTACCTTGATGGAGCCTATGAGTACCCAGACCCCACACAGACCTACGGCACCACGTCACCCGCAGAGCCTGCCTCTGTCGGATACTACCTGGCTCCCACGGACCCCCACGCACCCCCCGTCGAAGAACATCTGCAGACGTTCGGCGGCGAATCCAGCAGCCCTCTCATGTTTGCACCCACCAGCCCTCAGCTGTCCCCGTACCTGAGCCATCATGGAGGACACCACTCGACCCACCAGGTGTCCTACTACCTGGACACCTCGTCTAGCACAGTCTACAGGTCAGTGCAGCTTGAAATATGAGCCTCGGTTGTGCTGATGTTTTGGACGCCATTGTAGTTGCAGAATTCCAAGTTCTAAATGAACTAAAAAATAAAGTTGGTATACAGGTTATATTGGTTTTAAGATATTTTGTAGAAACTGAAAATCTTTGGTTTTATCTCTTAAAATCAAGTTTCTATGGCCATTTTCATGTTGAAATCAAGGTTAAACTATAGTAAATATAACAGGAAAGGGAACTACATAGGATGTTTTAGATCACAAAAAAGACATGAAATATTGTCAGGTGTTCAGTTAATCAGATGAGGTTGTTCTGGGGGTCATTACCCTGATTTACACCTGATTCATTGAGGCAGAATGTTTGGTCTAGCACTCAAATCCTGCTTGGATACATGCTTACCGAGGTTAATTTTGACAAACAACACCTTACATAAAACCTGGTGAAACCATTCTGGCACATTGTTCATTTTGTCAACATGTTTAATTTGCTTACTAAATAACCATGACTTTTGTAATAATTGAAGTACCGTTATTGGCCAACATTTACCATTTGAACATTTACACTAAAGTATTTTGTTTTAGCCATTACAGATTTTACAATATTTTAAAGGTGAAACTTATTTTAAGGCGGATGCATATATTTTATACACATAGAGTATCGAATCTTTTTTTATGTTCCTAATTGTTATGGCTATAGGTTTGTGAGTTGTGCATGACTAATATTTAATGCTAGTTGGTCTTTGGCATGTGCGATCATTTACACTTTTATTGAGAATGTACACATTTTTTCATGTATACATTTTCTTTCTCTTTACAGACTAAATGGTGATGAGATGTTGTTGGTCAGAAAGTACATGCTGATCTCGTGGTTAGAACAGGATATGATACTTATGTTTGTGCTGTTAATTATTAGAATTTCTTTACTTCTTGGAAAAGAAGGTTAGGATTGTAAACACCACTATCCGACATGGGGACTGAAGTCACAAAAAGAAGTGTACATTTGTAAAGTTTCTGATTCAATTCTGTCTGTAGGCCTTGAGGAAAGTACAATTAGTGAAAACAACCGTGGAATTGAAATGATCACGTCCTGTCTGAATGCACAGGGAGCACATTTTTCACTTTCAAATAAACTAAGAAGAAATGAATGAATTTAAAAAAAGCACATGAGACCATTTTTAGTAAAACCTGGTGTTTAAATCTTTTTTTCAAAGGCGTATATTACAGTTTCACTTCAAGAAGTGACAATGCATCTCTGCTTTAGGCTGCTTGGAGACCTCAGTTGGACATTTGGTGGCATTGGACATCACTGCAGTCCATTTATGAGGTTATGCAATATATCTGCTGGACATCAGAATTAAAGATAAAATAAATATTTACAAACACTGGAACAAGGGGTCAAAAGGAAACGGGGATGGTCAAACTTGTCCGCTGTTTGCAGTCACGTACATGTTCTCCTAGGACATTACAAACTTGTATCTCAAAACCTTAACATCGATGTACAAAATAACAGAGTTTTTTTGTTTGTTTATTTTTAAATAAGTGCCAGTGTTGGATATTTAATTGTGTATGCTTATTACCTTTATTTTACATTTATATGCTCACTAAAAGTACATTTTTAATTGCACTTATAATTTAATAATTTATTAGCAAATCTCACAAACGATATCTATAATGTTGTGAGGCCTACATTACCAATGTAATTTGTTAAAATACGATCGTCTTCAAAATCTGTCATTTATCGACCATAACATGGAAATAACCACTTATCTGCCAGAATTTTAATAGGCCTACTGAATTATTTGTAAGCGTGCCACCTAGTAAATCAGTAAAACACAAAAGTCAGTTTGTCCTCAATGGTGGTTGGAACTTGGCCTGGTTGTTATCATTATTATCCACTGTATATTGACATCTGACCTCTGTCTGTCTCCAGGTCCAGTGTGGTGTCTTCTCAGCAGGCAGGTGTTGGTCTGTGTGAGGTGTTGTGCAGTGCGACTGACAGGCAGGAGATGTACACCGGATCAAGAGCTGCAGGAGGATTTGATTCAGAGAAGGAGACGCGCTTCTGTGCGGTGTGCAGTGACTATGCCTCCGGCTATCATTATGGAGTCTGGTCCTGTGAGGGATGCAAAGCTTTCTTCAAGAGAAGCATTCAGGGTAACCAATCCTTGCGGTTCTGAACATCAGCACGGCTGTGATTCGGCTGCAAGTACTCTCACAGCTAAGCTTTGCTGACATTCAGAACTGATTGTTTAAAGGTGCATTGTGTAATATTTAGGATCTGCAAACAGAAATGCAATACAATATACATATGTTTTCAGTGGTGTATAAGACTTTATAATGAACCGTTATGTTTTTATTAACTTAGAATGAGCCAGCCATTTCTATCTACATACACCGCGGGTCACCTTACATTGAAATAGCCTTTTTTTTGTTTTTGCGCCGACATGTTTCTATAGAAGCTAAACGGACAAAGTAGCAAGTTACAGAGCGCGTTTCGTCACTATGTTGTTCTTCGTGCAAAGAAGCTATAACGTTAGCTAAAGTCAGCGAATAAAACACTGACACAATGATGAACAAGTAACAACAATATTCGCAATAACATATCGTTTTGCTGAATAATAAAGTAAACATAATTTCTTAATTTATCTTTGTAAAGAAACCTCATTGCTCATGGCTACTCTCTGCAGACGATGACATATTTTCATTTCCTTTCGTCCACCGTAACTTTTGATGGTTGCAATTAGTAACCTCACCACTAGGTGCCGCTAAAAATCACACACTGCACATTTAAAACAAACGCAAATATTAAAGCTGCAGTCCTATACTTTTATTGGAGTTATTTAGTCTATTTTCTATTTTTGCCGCTGAAAATAGATCCAAACTAAGCGTGGGCAGTCTGTTTCTTTTCCGAACAACATGAACAACACGTTTTGCGTTTAAAACGGGAGATGCAGAGCAGTTGGTGGAGGCAAGGTTTAGAAAAGCGCTTTTTGTTCCTTAACTTATTTTAACTTGAATGACGCGTTTTTTAAAACGCGTGTCATGCGCGAGACGCGGCAAAAGACACGAGGCTCGAGCACAGTCTAGCGCGTGTTTAGGTTTACATAGTTAAATAGAAAAGCAGTGAAGTGAAATGCAATTAAACATCAATTTCATGTGATTGACAGGTTATCCCACCCACCCTCGCGCCAAAAAAAAACACGTCATCAGAGAAGAGTTAGCCTATCACTGCAAGGGTGATGGGAAGATATTTTGATTAAAGTCATCATGAAATCAAAATTGACAATTCTTATTTTTTAAGGAATATTGCATAATTTATGTAATATTTGACTCGGATAGACTCGCGAATTCTGTTTCATGCAAACTTTAAAGTAACACTATGTAGTTTTTCAACCTTCATAATATATTTCCAAGACCCTTGTGATGGTACATCGACTTAAAATAAGTTAAATGACACGTCTGCCATAGCCTGACGTGGTCTGTATCGCTTCTACTGGCACTATGTAACTTCGGGTTTCGGGTAGGAACCCGTGCACAAAAAGAACTACAAAATTCGACTGCTTTACGGCTGTATCCGTCACTTCCCCCACCACTTCCTCAAATTGTCTGTGGCCATTGCAGACATTCCAAGTCTCCCGGGAGTCTTCCGCATATTGATAGCGTCTCCCTGATGCCCGAAAATTAGTTAAAATCTGCCGGAATCTAGAGCGCGCATGCAAGACAGAACATACTGCGTGCATAACATACATAGCGCGAGCATGGCAGAGAGGGAGAGAGCGAGAGACCTTGCGAGTGTGCCTCACGAAAGCTAGTCAACCCGCCACCCCCCCACCCCCCGTCAACAATCCAGTCACCAAGATATACCTCCCTGAAATGACTTCTTGCAGGTTGGGATGTCTGCCATTGTTGATTCCAAAGCCGGTGCTGGATAAACAGCAAGCGTGCGCGTGCGACAGTAGGCTGCGGAAGGCTAAATTATTTACGACAGCGATAATGGACAAGTCCGCTTCCAACCTGTAGGGCGACCGCAGAGGAATAGTTACTTGGTGTTGCTTTAAAGGTTACGAGGGCACATGAGTTAAAAAAAATAATTATGAGCATGGGCAAATCATTTATAATAAATTGTGCAACATTCCATTAAAAAACAAGAATTGGCCATTTTAATTTCATAGTGACTTTCAAGAACATACTTGCTCAATAAAAGTTTGCATTTGTTGATTGAATTCTAGTAGGCTATTTAGTTTATACATAATGCATAACAATGGACATTAATCCTCTGATAATAATCCTCAGCATCTGCAAGCAATACTAATAACAAATTTATCCTTGGAAAAAGGTTGATAATTTAGAGCACATAGTTTTCTCAGTCACCTAATATGAAGTCCAAAAATATATGGGTGCTGGCAAAAAGAAAAATAATAAGATTTCTATTTTCAAGTCAAGCCCTTGTGCTTTCAAATACTGAATGAATGTGTGAAAGTGTGCAGTAGCCTATGTAATCATCCTTGCATGTTCACTATAAAGGTGACAGAAAAAGGTGAAAATCAAAGTCTCACACGTGCTAAATCTGACAAGAGGCTGACATGTACAAAGGCAGCTCACAGATGTCTCTGCCTACACCTTATTTGCAGTTCTGTATTGTGTTGGAGGGGGTGCAGACCTGGCTGGGTTTGGTGAGATGTAGCTGTAGATGTAGATGTGTTGAACTTGACCCTGACACACAAGCTCCTGATGAGCTCTTTCCTGGGGCAGGTAACTGCTGCTGATTTAACTGCCACTTTGGTGAGGAAAACTGAGCGAGAAACTGGAGGAAAATGACTGTAAGTGTGTGCCTGACAAATGGGTTTCAGGACACACTGGGTGAGGGGAATTACAGTGAGAATAAGAATGATAGAGAGACATGATGACAAGAGAGAGAAGACAGACGGGACAGGAAAGCAGAGAGAAGAGCAGAAGCAAGACAATAAAACATAATTAATAGACAATACATTTTTACGTTCTGCGATTTGAATTTGAGTATCCTATAATTGTTTCATATAATTAGAATTTGAAATCCCTGCAAATTTTTTTTTACAAAAACCTTAATACCAGGTTTTCTATGAGGAATAAACAAACGTTTTACTTTCTTTTTTTTCTTTTTTTTTAAGATTTACTTTAAAGATTCCCGCCCAAAAAATATGACAACCTATCTAATATGCTGTTGGTCCTCCGCATGCTGTCAAAACAGCGCGACCCGCCAAGGCATGGACTAAAGGTGTCCTGTGGTGTCTGGCACCCAGATGTTATCAGCAGATGTGAGCACCTGCAGGGTGTGAGGAGCCTCCGTGGATCGAACTTGTTGGTCCAGCACATCCCACAGATGCTCAATTGTATTGGGATCTGGGGAATTTGGAGGCCAGGGAAACACCTTGAACCCTTCATCATGTTCCTCAAATCATTCCTGAACAATGTATAATGTGTGACAGGGTGCATTATCCTGGTGAAAGAGGCCAATTCCACCAGGGAACACCATTTACATGAAGGAGTGTACCTGGTCTGCAACAATATTTAGGTAGGAGGCACGTGTCAAATTTACGTCCACATGAATGGTCGGACACAGGTTTTCCCAGCAGATCACACTCCCTCCACCAGCTTGTCGTCGTCTCACAGTGCATCCTGGTGCCATCACTTCTCCAGGTAAACGGTGCACACATACACGGCCATCCACGTGATGTAAAAGAAAACGGGACTCATCAGACCAGGTGACCTTCTTCCACTGCTCCGAGGTCCAGTTCCGACATTCGTGTGCTCATTGTAGGGGCTTTCGATGGTGGTCATGGGTCAGGTACTCTGATTGGTCTGAGGCTACACAGCCCCATATGCAGAAGAGTGCGATGCACTGTTTGTTCTGACACATTACCATCATTAAAATTTCGTGCGACTTGTGGCACAGTATAGACTGTTGGTAAATTGGTAAATTGTCATCACTGCTGATTGGAAGAAACCCACAAGCATTGCAGATGACGGTTTAGGAATTTGAAATTGTTAAAGGGATTTTGTTGAGCAGTGGTTTCAGGGAATAACCTGAGTCTTTCTAATGGGCTCGGTGGTGTGAATTGCTCTCAACAGTTCCCAGGGCATCTTTGCTAGCCACCCAAAATGTCTTATTACACTAAAATGTGTTTGCTACTATGATCTTGTTCACATCCAAATTTTGTTATGAATATTTTGGATTCTCTGTTGTATAATATCCTATTACAAATATACCTCATTAGGATTATGTGCATGGTTTTTGATGTCCGTGTGTGTGTTTGTGTGTAGGTCTGTGACATTTCTGTCTGTGACACACTCATCTAATTTAAATTTTCATCTGGAGCACTGGAACAGCATGTACCTGCTCTCAGTGCTTAATCAGATCCAAGGACACTGATGCACTGCACTGCACTCTTTGTCGCTTGTGATGGAACAATATTTACAGATCTCTAATATGGTCATGGAGTTAAAAATAAAAAACGTCTCTGAAAGCTGATCTTAAAAAAGTAGTCAAATAAAGAAAGATCTGGCATATGCTTTGGCATTTTGCTGTTTAAGCAAGAACTTGAAGGATAAAAGAATGATCAATAACAAGCTCTACTTTGTTCCTCTGCCTCTAGGTCACAATGACTATGTTTGTCCAGCAACCAACCAGTGCACTATTGACAGAAACCGCAGGAAGAGCTGCCAAGCATGCAGACTACGCAAGTGTTATGAAGTAGGCATGATGAAAGGAGGTACATAAAATATTCCTACTTTTCTCTTCCTTTCTCTCTCTTTAAGTCTCACATAAACATGAGCTCCCTCACGATCATGATTTTAAATAGCCTCTGTCCAGGGTTGGGCATAATGCAGAATTTAAGAATTGACGGGAGACCGGGGATGGTTGTAACATGGGGAGAGTTGTAACACCATCAATTTCACCAATTAGAGATAAGATAGTCATGAGATAGTCATGTGATCACTTTAGTATTTTCCTACTTCCTACCCGATCACGCATGGTGATTGTCAAGGCTGGAAACTTCACACACTATATAGAATATAACTACATAGAATATATAAAAACTGATTTTGAGGTCAGAAAGTACCATTTTTGACCAAGACTATATTTTGTTTAGTATCTGTACTATTGCAGATAAAATTGTATTACTTATTAAATAGTAGTTTATATGTGATGCATATTTTTTCCTGCTAATTTCAAACCACTATGCTAAAACTGCTTGCTAAACTTTGACCGACAGCGGTGGGGAGGGTTGTAACACTTATTTAAAAAGCGTTACAACCATCCCCTTACATACTAAGAATATAACTAAGAATTTTTTACAGAATGACTAGGGCATGAAAAAGAAAGACTGACAGAGGTGTCTCTGCCAGTGTTTTAAATAAAGTGGTTTGCATGGAGCAATTTAACGACTCAAAGCCAAAGGAGGTTTGGGTGAAATGCGCCCTATATGCAGTTTCTGGGCCCATCAGGACTGCACTCCAGGGCTACCGGCATCATTCATCTGTCAGCAGCTGTGACTCTGATTAAGAATACACACATAGACACACACTCGAACACACACATGTTGGTGCAACAGCATTATGAGGACTCTCCATAGGCGTAATGGTTTTTATACCGTAAAAACTATATATTCTATCCCCCTACACTGCCCCTATCCCTAAACCTACCCATCACAGGAGACATGCAGCATTTTTAATTTTTAAATAAAACATTGTTTTTTATGTTTTTTAAGCCATTTGATTTATGAGGACTTTTGAAATGTCCTCATAAACCACCCATAAGTTGTAATACCAGTGTAATACACATGTCATTATACAAATTTGTGTCCTCATAAATCACATAAACCAACTCACACACACACACACACACACACACACACACACACACACACACACACACACACACACACACACACACACACACACACACACACACACACACACACGAGAGAGAGAGACATTGTTCTTTTATTTAAATAAATCTGGTTTTCAACAATATCATATGGTATGGCATCCATTTTTACTTCTTTTGTCTAATTGTTACAACTTACCCCAGCATGTGTTACACAACCTACCCCGGTAGTGGGGTAGGTTGTAACAAAGGAACACCATGTATTTTACATTAACTCATGGGTCTGTGATATTCTTGTAAAGGGTTGAATTGGTTCCATTTGTAGTAAACAAATGTGGGTACTTTGTATAAAAGTTTGAGACCTCAAGCTAAAAAATTCAGCAAATAGGTGCTGAAGCAAAAAATGTTACAACCATCACCCGGTCTCCCCTACATGAATGTGAATTGGCCGCAACACACAAAAAGGTGAATTTAAATTTGATTAGGAGGGATTTATTATTATATACAATTTTATTTATGTTTTATTTATAGATTTTCCATCTTGGCAAATGTTTGTAAATTAATGTGTGTGTGTGTGTGTGTGTGTGTTAAATGTAAATTAAATATACACACATATACAAAAAGGCATGTCTCCCATCAACTACCTCATATAATCAGGCTGTGACAAGCTTGTTCACATTTAGGCTACTGCACAGGCTTTCATCTTTCTCTTTTTTCAAATTGTTTGGGCCGCATCTTTTCCATTGCAGGTATTCGTAAGGACCGCGGTGGCCGCGCTATCAGGCGTGAGCGGAGGAAGAGCGATAATGAGGATCGTGACAAGAGCTACAGTGAGCAGTCAAGCCGTGTCGGACTGAGGACAGCTCAGGACAAGAGGAAGAAGAGCAGCGGCGGGGTGGTCAGCGCTTTATGCATGCCACCTGACCAGGTGCTGGTGTTGCTTCTGGGTGCAGAGCCACCGGCTGTCTGTTCACGTCAGAAGCACAGCCCCCCGTACACCGAGATCACCATGATGTCCCTGCTCACAAACATGGCTGACAAAGAACTCGTCCACATGATCGCCTGGGCTAAGAAAGTACCAGGTGAAATCTTTCAAAGATCAATTAAGGTTGCTTTAATTGTGAGTGCAGCATCAAAGAAAATGTTTTTAAATGTGAAGGAGGCACTTCTGAGAAAGTGTCCCCGGTGACAGCCTTGACAGTTTTTGTAACCGTGGCAGCAGTTTTCAACAGCACAGGTGGCAGAGATTCAAATGACGAGGTCACAGGCACAAAGATAAAGAGCATGGTGTTATTACAGTGATCTGTGCTGCGGCTCAGTTCGATTGGCCTCCAGCTGAGCTCAGCACACATAAAAACACCTGCTGGGACTTTAAGGGAGACATTATATTTGATGTTCAGATTTCTTAATTAACCCTCCTCGGAGAAAGTAAACAATTTATCTCATGAGATACAGCGGACAAGACTTTAATGTTGTTATATGTGGGTGACAACACCAAAATTTCATATTCCAGAATTATTTACTGAAACATGCTAATCATTACTCTTCTAACCCTATTTTATACATCACAAAGGAAGGTCATTTCAATCATAGAAATTAAATATGCCTTATTTTATTTATTATTTATTTTTTAAGTAAGCATCACTAATATTACTAGTATTAAAGGGGACCTATTGACCTTTCGCCGGCCCCTCCCCCAAAACGGCCATTGTCCAATCACACATCATAGCAACCGTTACTATGTGAGCAGGTCCGTCAAACATTGACTCCATGCAAGATGGTGAAGCGGTGCGCCCACGGCGTTTTTAAATCGGACACTAGGTACCCCGAGAGATTGTCTGGAGGAGTTGTGTTCTTTCCGTATCCAAAGCCGAAAACTACGGAGCCCCCCTAGTCCCCCCTAGTCCCACAAGATAGTATCAAAAAAAATTATTGTAACTATCTCGTGGCCTCAAGATAAGTAACTCGTGGCCTCAAGATAGTAACTCGTGGCCTCAAGATACTATCTCGTGGCCTCAAGATAGAGATACTATCTTGAGGCCTCAAGATACTATCTCGTGGCCTCAAGATAGTATCTCGTGGCCTCAAGATAGTATCTCTATCTTGAGGCCACGAGATAGTATCTTGAGGCCACGAGTTACTTATCTTGAGGCCACGAGATAGTTACAATAATTTTTTTTGATACTATCTTGATACTATCTTGAGGCCACGAGTTACTATCTTGAGGCCACGAGATACTATCTTGAGGCCACGAGATAATATCTTGAGGCCACGAGATAGTATCTTGAGGCCACGAGTTACTATCTTGAGGCCACGAGTTACTTATCTTGAGGCCATGAGATAGTTATAATAATTTTTTTTGACAAAGTAGGACTAGGGGGGCTCCGTAGAAAACACACAACGTGAGCGGTGCCTAAAATGGATAAAACAGTGTGGACGGCCCCACTCCCAGTTAAATGTGTCGAACATGGTTAACTCGCGTGCAGCGTGCGTGAGACTGAGACACTGAGATTAGTCAAAGAAACTTGGAGAAAGCAGATCAAGAGGATCCACAAAGGAATTACGTTTTCTAAAGGGTTGTTGTTAACATGATATTCTCAGGGGAAAATGAGCAGCAGTCAACTAGCAGTGCAGCACCCGTAGACTACAGTTTAGAGGAGTGCACGTTCGCAACGGGGAACGCATGAAGTTTAAGTTACTTGACAACATCAGTTCATATATCAATATCGTAACGAATAGAAATAACCTTAAATAATGGTTTAATAACCGGCTGTGCTGGTTGCATTTGAGGTAGCAGGTCATGGGGTTTCTCAGATTTCGTTTGAGACCGGTATAAGCATTAGCCTCGATAGTAGTCGTGTCACCTTCATTGCGTATTTTTATATTTTGAATATATCCCTCCACTGCATACTGTAACCCCTTTTGCCTCGATCTGGAGGATATTGCTGAGGTATTGCTCCAAAAAAGGTCACTGACACGCACGGGTATACCTCTTCCGTCATGGCAATCTGTCGCGCTGGTCGTGTTTGACCATTTGTTTGAAGAGCGTAGTAACAATAACTAGGGGGCGTGGCTTTTGCAAACGGTCAATTGTGCCTAGGGTTGCCAACTTCTGAAAAAAAAATGCAGGACATATTACTATATTTTGGCGATTTCGGTTTTGTTGACGGGATACGGGATGGTGGATGGGGATGGGGGGGGGGGGTGTATCTCGCAGGCAAGGTCTCTCGCTCTCTCCCTCTCTCTCCGCGCTACACGGTTTGGCGCTGACGCACATACAGTAGGCTATGTTCTGTCTTGCATGCGCAGCTCTGGATTCTAGGAGATTTTAACTAATTTACGTGTCGTGTTGCTGTTGTATCAGTCAGATCAGCGTAGCACTCAATAATCGGGACAAGAGAGGTCCCGATCGGGACAAATAAATTAGGCCCAAAAATCGGGACGTCCCGGCTAATTCGGGACAGTTGGCAACCCTAATTATGCCCCTTTTTACCAAATGTAATATAAGTCTCAGGTGCCTCCAGAATGTGTCTGTGAAGTTTCAGCTCAAAATACCCCACAGATAATTTACTACACCATGTTGTAAATGCCCATTTTTGAGTGGAAGGAAAAACATGCTGGTTTCGTGCATGTATCTTTAAATGCAAATGAGCTGCTGCTCCCCGCCATACTTTCAAGAAGAGGGCAGAGCCACCAGACGCGAATAGCGCGTCAAATTCGTGCCTACCGCGTCTAGTTATACGCTTGAACACTTTGAATCCATTCGCGCGTCAAGAGCGAAATTGACGCGCGTAAAAAACAAAAGTTTGAAGCGCAATTTACGCGCACCACGCGCGTTAGAATCGAAACCAACATTTTTTATGTTGATCGAGCATTCATCGAGAGAGTCACCGCTCTGTATTTGCTCTGGAGAGCAGAACGGCGGCGTATGGGTTATCGTCGCCGTATTTGTGTCCACCAGACCCTTCGGAGGCGAACCCAGTTTGGCGAGTTTCACCATTTCCTCGCTCCAGGAGCTGCGCCTGGATGACCGCTTTCAGCGGTACTTCCGCCTGTCCCGCGCCCAGTTTGATCACCCTCGCCCTCATCCACCTAATCTGTCATTTATTTTTGTTTTGATGATAAATGGAGCCAGCCTCCAAAAGTGATTAACCTGTCCTGTGATTTTTTCTCTCTCACAAAACACTGTCCAGACACGAACTTATCCACTATAGTATGTTGGTTGTCTTCACATTATAATAATATTTCATACAATCTAGATATGGAATAAATAGCATTCAATACAAAATGAATATGTCTCATATATTGAAATCAAGTTTTATGTCATAAAATATTTGCTTTGTTGTGCATTAGAACCACACCAGGCATTTAGGCATTACAAAATAATTTATTGAAGCATCCAGATACTTCACCACGTGAAAGCAGCAAGCAGCTAGGGTCCTGATTGGTTAACGCGGCGCGAATTGACGCCAAAGTTCTGATTTTTCAACTCGGGCAGCAGATGCGAATTCGCGTCAAACGCGTGAATGCACAAAAAGCACTTAATAAAATTATTTGCGCGTAACGCGCCAGACGGTCAATTCGCGTCTACCGCGCCGCGCTCTACGTCTCATTCGCGCCGCAGGAATTTTTTACGCGCGTAACGTGTCTTTGCATTGACTTAACATTGAAATCACTCGCGCCAGACGCTCTATTCGCGTCTGGTGTGAACGCACCATGCCTCAGATGAACTCCAAAAACTAACACAAGATCTGTTGGTTTTGATTATCATCTCTATCGCGGTCATGCTCACATGACATTGCAGTTCTTCATCATCATGAAAGTTTATTATCTGCATGCATTTTAAAGCCATATCAGTCTAAACTTCTGATATATGGCTTTCTGAGTGCACACATCCGAAGCACGCGCACAGAAATCTGGCTGTCAGATGGCGTGTCCCGTGAGTATTAAACGAAGTTCTCTTTCACATCTTATTGCGCTTAAACTGTCAAATACACACGAGGTTATGTCTAAAACACACGAAGTACACATAAACAGTCGGTTATGTCTGTGAATGTATATAGCAAGAAAAGAAATTGAATGTTTATATTAGACCTGTGTATTAAAGTGAAAACAGCGTAATATATAGCATACTGCTGTATATGCTGTTGATATGAATCAAAAAACAAAAGAAAAATAGAAAATCACCCTCTGCGCTTGACTGAATAACTTAGTAGCTTTAATAAGAAATGCTCTGGCGAGGAGATAAACATGGCGGACTGTGTACAGCTCACTCAGGGGAGGAGCTAAGTTAATAGGGCAGAGTCCGTCAGCAGGTGTGGGCGGGGCCTAAGCATTTGTGATGTCACAAAAGCTACAATCTGCAAATGGCTTGTTCTGAGACACTGCCAGTGCTTATGATTTATGGGGATTTAAAAAAGAGGATTTTTACTATTATAGGGTGGCTGTGTACACACAGTGCAGACACACATTTATGTTCAATTATGCATAATAGGTCCCCTTTAAATTTGATTTACAACCCGTCCTACAGACGTAAATGATACCTCAAATCTTGCAGCTTGTTGAGAAGAGGTGAACTGTTACTTTCCTAAGTGATGGTGGCCGGTGAAAAATCCCATAGATTTACATTGAAGGAAGGACCTTAACCATATTTAGGGACCAGAATATCATAGAAACTTGGGGTGAGCCAAGAAATCATTCTAATATGCTAATTTGCTGCTCAGGAAACAATTCCTTTAAAAAACATCTTACTGATCACAAATTTGTGAAGGGCAGTGCATGAAGCATGATGTGATTGTTCTCTCCAGGGTTCCAGGACCTCTCTCTGCATGACCAGGTTCAGTTGTTGGAGAGCTCTTGGCTGGAGGTGTTGATGATCGGCCTCATATGGAGATCCATTCATTCACCTGGAAAACTCATCTTTGCTCAGGATCTCATCCTCGATAGGTACTGGATGTTCTGAACCTCCTCTTGTAGGACAAAATAAATCATTAAGTTTTTCTACTTTTTTTTTGGCATACATACAACTCATTTATTTAGGCAAAAGCAAAAAAATAAAAAAGCACCTCGAGCAAAAAGCAAAAAAAAAACTTAATCTAATGACTATTTTAGAACCACTTTTATTCATCTATTTGGACACGGAGAAGTGCAATCACACTCTGTGAAGCTTTGAAAACACATTCAGTTGTTTTGATTACATTTAGCCTCGCTTGACTGTTAAGAGTAATGGCAAAGCACCAACATGCCGTGACTGAAACCTGTGGGAACACCTGTTATACTCCAATGAAACTCGGCTTTATTTTAGTCTCAGACAATTTTACATGAGACTGATGCTGTGAGTGTGATTGTGGGAATGAGCTTTTTGAGATGTCACATTGACCAGATGCATTGCCTCTACTTGTGCCTATTTTTGCCTCAATTTCTTAAAGAACATTGAGCTGCATGTGGTTTTATCCCCCGCAGAAAGGATTTGGCCCAGCAGAGGGGTGTACCTTATAAAATGAGATTGAATGATTGTAAAATGAAAACTAGATTGTTAAAAAGGATGTGAACTATTTACCTGAGAGCCTTGTGCTCCTCTTCAGAAGGCCATGTCACAAGTAGCATGTAATTAAAGAGGACCTGATTGGGAACAAGCCTCTTTAAAGGGCTTTTGAAGAACAGCATCATCGCTGACTAAGGAAATACGAATCTAATCAAAACTAGCATCCGTAAAAAGTGAAGCAAAGTGAGCTTGGAGGTTTAATAGAGCATCCTGGAAGACGAAGGAGAACGAGTGAGTAGAATTGGGAAGAGACTGAAATGACAAGATAAAATGGTTGAATTGGAGAGAGAGAGAGAGAGAGAGAGAGAGAGAGAGAGAGAGAGAGAGAGAGAGAGAGAGAGAGAGAGAGAGAGAGAGAGAGAGAGAGAGAGACTGCTAAGATAGGATAAGAACTGATGAAAGACAGAATATCTACAGAGAGTCCATCACAGGTCCAGTCTTTGCTCTCACGCAAGCAGCAAACAGCATGTACAATGCTCACAGAAAGAAAGAAAGAAGAAGGTCCATTTTAAGGCACATATCACAGTAAATGGCACAAACGATCTCCTAGCATATATAAAGTGCTGGTCTTCCTCTTTACAGGAATGAAGGAGAATGCGTCGAGGGGATGGCTGAGATTTTCGACATGCTTTTGGCGACTGTGGCTCGATTACGCAGCCTAAAACTCAAGCTGGAGGAATTTGTATGTCTTAAAGCCATCATACTTCTCAATTCTGGTGAGTCTGTGGTAACAGAAAGTCAAACAGATCATAATTATGCAGTTCCCTGGAATACTTGATTCTGATTGGTCAATCATTCAGTCTTCTCCACACAATCCCTTCCACCTTCATCAATGTCTGACCAAAAACATAGCATGCTATCATGTTATGTTGTAGATAAACAAAAGAGCTTTTCTAATCCAGTGCTATGCTAAACTAGAAGGCTAAACTGTTAGCTTGCTAACTGAAGGCTAAAAACAAAGAAAGGGAAATGTTTGATTTTAAATGGAATAAATAAATATAGCTGAATGTAACTTTTTATGTAATTAAGTCAGCCGGTCATTACCACAAAATAAACCCCTTCAGGATCCCTTTTTTGGAATCTCTTACTTATTTAACTGTGCACTACCGTATAAAAGTTTATAGGTCGGTAAGATTTCTTAAAAACTTTTGAAAGTCTTTTCATGCTCACCAAGGCTGATCAAAAGTCCAGTAAAAACAGTAATATTTTACTCCAGCCTTCAGTCACATGATCCTTCAGAAATGATTCTAATACGGTATGCTGATTTGCTGCTCAACAAACATTTCTTATTTTTATCAATGTAAATTATTATAAAAACAGTTTTGCTGCTTAATATTTTGGTAGAAACTGGGATATGTTTTTTTAAATATATATATAGGTGTGTGTGTGTGTATAAAAATAAAAATAAACAACATTTATTTGAAACAGCATTTTTTTTTTCACTTTTGATCCATTTAATGCATGCATCAGTGCTATATAAAAGTATCAATTTCAATCAAAAAATTTAAATAAAAACAAATACCAGTAAATAAATCCTCAAACTTGTGCATGCTAATGTACTCAGCATCATCTATGCATAAATTAATGTCATATAATGCATGTCACACACACAACCCTAAACATGTCCCCAGGTGTCAATTCATATGTAACTAACATATGTTTAAATAGTTATTACTTCATCTTTTCTGTCTGGTCAGGTGCATTTTCATTCTGCTCCAGTCCAGTGGAGCCCCTGATGGACAGCTTCATGGTGCAGTGCATGCTGGACAACATCACTGATGCCCTCATTTACGGCATCAGTAAATCCGGTGCCTCTCTGCAGCTGCAGTCCCGGCGTCAGGCGCAGCTCCTGCTACTGCTCTCCCACATCAGACACATGAGGTAAACTCAGACGGATAACAAATCAAAAGAATAAAACATATACCGTACACTACCATTCTAAAGATTTGGGTCTGTAAGATTTTATTTTTCATTATGTATGCATTAAATTGATCCAAAAATGTCAGAAAAGCAATAATTATTTTTCATTTTAAAACAAATGCTGTTCTTTTGGACTTTCTATTCATCAAGGAATCCTGAAAAAATAAAAACATGGTTTCTACAAAAATCAAACAACACAACTGTTTTCAACATTGATAATACTAAGAAATGTGTCGAGCACCAAATCAGCATATTAGAATGATTTCTGAAGGATCATGTGACACTGAAGAATGGAGTTATGGCTCCTGAAAATTCAGCTTTCCATCGCAGGAATAAATGACATTTTAAAATCGATTCAAACAGAAAACAGTTATTTTAAATTAAAATAATTTTCACAATATTAGTTTTTGTTGCATAAGAGAGTTGAAAAAGGTGTTTTACCCATTTGATGGGACCTTCTTTCCTTTATTAGCAACCATAAGTAAGGATATTGTTGCTGAATTTTTATTGCTCGTATCAGTCAAGCACATGTTATATTTGCAATGTTTTGTTTTTTTGAAAGCAACAAAGGAATGGAGCACTTATACCATATGAAATGTAAGAATCGAGTCCCGCTGTATGATCTTTTGCTGGAGATGCTGGATGCCCAGCGATTCCAATCCCCAGGAGAGGTGCAGCGACTGGGGGCACAGAGTGAGAAAGACCCGCCGTCTACACCATCCACCAGAGGACCTGAAGCCATGCAGCCCAACACTGCCTGTCTCAGCCAAAGTCCAGACCCCTGACCTATCAATCCCAACAGCTGCAGAATGTGAAGACTGCCAACCAGTAATAAGAACTGTGATTCAAGAGTCTCTCCTTGTGCCTTATCAGAGTACACTTTAGATTTTAATCTAGAAATGAACACATTTGAAAATGAACCTATTTGTAGAAACACACAGGTTGGCTCCCAAACACTATACATCTATGTTCACTTGATTCATGAATTTCTTTTCAAAGCTTATTACAGGGATTCAAGACATTTTCTCAGACTTGAGAAAAAGGGCTCTTTTTGGTGCACTGAGAGACATGTTTCTGTAGAAGCTGCTAATTTTTCTTTTCTTTTAATATCTATAGAGTGACAGCTTTAACATCACAAACTCACTCAAAATAAAAATAAATTAAATTAAATAAAAAAGGACAACCAAGAGCTGTTGAAGTGCATTAGAAACTAGCATATTTGCAAGTAAAATCTGTTTAATTGCTAAACATTTAGACATTGATTATTCCGCCACTGGATTAGAAAACAGGTGGCGTTATATTGACATTTCACTGTCAAATCTGATCTGTCAGTCACAGAAGTAAGTGGTATGTTAACTCATTTTTCATGTTACTACATGAAATTATTTACATTATGGCAATAACAATAACTATGTATAATTACAATCAGGTCTTGATATAAAGTAACATGAACACTAATATAAAGTGTGACCAAACTGAAAACAGCAGAGGAGAAAAGTTACTCTTAGAACAAAGAAAAACAAGAAAAAAGTAATTGCATAAAACAGTTTATGTTAATGCATCATGATTTATTCTCGCAATCAGAGAGCTATTTCTCGATACGAATCATTGCTCTTTTTAATGTTAAGATTAACGTGATTTTAACTCGAATGGCTCAGTGATGACATTAGTAGCATCTTTTTTTGTGTACAAAGACGTTTACTTATTGGTTGGCTGATATCACAAAATCTTAAATCCTATTTTTGCTGTTTTGAAGTGCTGTAATTGGTTTTATAGCCATGTTAACATGACATGTAAATGCTAACGAGCTAAATTTCCTCAATGTGAAGGACACTGACTGTCTTATATTACGATGTAAACTACATTGTCACATTTTTCCGCAAATCTGTGAATGTGTTTGGTCATAGTCCAGTAGACTTGTACTTTGCATTTATCAGCTATTATATTTGATACTTGAATGTTATGATTGGTACAGTACAAGTTTTGATTTTGAAGGACCTACATGTGCAAATGTTAATTTGGCTCAACTAATTATAAAGAATAGTTGAAAAATATACTAAATGAAAAGATGTGTCTTTATTGTCAGCATTAGCAAACTGTACATAGATAAATAGGCATAGACATTGTAATCATAATGAATGTTTTTGTCATATTGTCATATCACACAAATTAACAGATGATGGTAATGACTGTTTTACATTTCTGGACAAAAAAAAAAAAAAAGTTGTGAACGTGCCATAAAATAAAAATACATTTAAATTCTCATGCAAAATCTTATTTAAATAATATTGAAAATAACTTTTTCTACAGTTTTAAATTATAAAAAAATAAAAATAAAACTTTCTTTAGCCTAAGCAAATCATTTTGGCCATTTACTTGGACGGTATAAGTGCAGTACCTTATGCTTATGTCAGTGCTATTTAATACATAATTATATATGATTTTTCCTCTGTTTCCTTGGGACAGAAGATGTTCACCAGTTTGGCTGTCCAACACTGGTCTACACGGCAAGGAGTTCAAGAGTACACAGTTTAGTGAAAAATTAAATTAGCAGCAGTAACTATACAGGAACAGGAACAATCCGCTTTGGCTAATACTAGTCCATTCTGTGTCCTGCAGTGTAATATGAAACATATGAAGGCATTAGTAAAGTCTCATACAGGTGGTGGGCCGTTGGTGTAGCGAAGCATGGGATGAAAAGAACGGGCGAAATTGTTGGCATGGGCACAGCTGTAATCCTGCTCAGTCATGGGTACCAGACAGGTCAGGCCCACTATGAGCAGCAGTAGGAGCTGCAGTGGCAGAGCCGCCCGGAGCACTCGCAGCAGAAAGGGCTGGCAGCGAGCCACAGCAGCGCCACCTTGTGCCCCGGAGGAACCAGAGTGAGATGAAGCGCAGCCAGAACCGCTGGGCAACCTACGAAACATCATACCAATAGATTATCATTTATAATGACAAGCACGGAAATGTCTCGGGTAACACAGAGCTTCTACTATTCAGTTTATCATGTGATTCGTTTTTAAAAAGTTAACCATCTTAAACCAAGCAAAACCATTTTTAGTGCCTTTCACTGTTTGCAAATAATCATAACTTGCTGAAAGATTGCACACATTAAATCTCAAGATTGTTTGTTCTCGGACAGATATCGCTTCCCATATTTGTGTTATAATCAAAGACACTACCATATTTTGTAATACTTCATAATATATTTCATTAAGAAGTCACAAAAAACATGATATAATGCTTAACAAATCAGTAATTCATGTACATTCAAATATTAAATATATATATGAATTGAGGTGTCATGGCATTGAATGTAAATTAAAAAAATATATACTTTTGTTAAGCATTACATACATGTTGTGTTTGCTAATGTTGTTAATGAAAGTTACTATTAGGTTTTACACAATATGGCCGCCTTTATGTATTTTTCTCTGATATAAGGCAGAGATGAGCGTGAGGGCATCATAAAAATAAAACTGCAAAAAACAATGAAAGCAAAAAAAAAAAAAAAAGTACATGGTTTGGAAAATGACTGATACATTTCAATATTTTCACATGGCATCAAGAATGGAGAAAGATGATGGACCCATGAGGATTTTGAACAGTTTCTTAACGGTTTTTGTGTTCAAAGTTCACAAAGTTACATCGTCAGACTCAATATTATGTTCTTGTGGAAAAACACATAAGATTACTAAGAATCCTTGACTTGGAACCAAAACAAATTAATTTCTTAGAACTGAACAGCCCATGTGAACTCCTACCGCAGAGGATCTGACCTCTGATCTGAATGGTTCTGATGGTTATGGATCTGGGATCTGGATCTAGAATGAGTTCCATCATCCCCCCTGCATTCTAAAGCCGAGAAACAGGTACCTGTGACGTGGAAGCCTGGCTGAGGATCCTGGTTCTGACACACTACATTTGCCTCGTAGCTGTTGTGCAATGAGCAAAAGGGAGGGAGGGAGGGAGGGGTAAAAGAAAGAAAGAATGTTTCAGTCCCAGCAAATAAAGACAAAGCTTGTGGTGACAAGCAGAGACATATAGCCAGGCCATCAGTATAATCACAAACCAGTAACAACAAAACAAAAGGCAGCAGCAAAATAGGTGGCAATGACAAAAAAAATATCTTGCAAGGTGCAAGAAACCTGGCTTTCCGCACAGACACCTTCAAACAAATCCACTAAAATTGACTGTGGCTTGATTTGATTCAAAGCACGTCTGAACGGTAAAGCCAGTGTTTCACAAGAAGTGAAGTACTTCTTGAGCCACAAATAAACATATTTCACAGGGGGATGAGGAAGTGAGCAAATATCCAAGGGGATTTTGTCAATGAGAAATATTTAAGTGGAACTAACGTAGTGAAAATTTCCCCCCGATATAAGCTCAACCGCCTCATTTTAGCAGGTCAGTGACCTTCACGGCATGCCCGAAATAAAATTTAAAAAAAGGGAGAGGAGATGCATTACCGATTGTCGTTTAGTAGAAACGCTGACATCTGAAACAGGACTGACCGATCCAGAAGTCTCTGCGTCATCCGTAACAGACCAGAGGGACGCATCCTGTGAGTTGGGTGAAGATCTGAGTTTTAGCTTTGAAATGGAGTCTGGTATTATGGACAATGTCCCTCAAACTGATGGAAAACCGGCCACTGAAGAGATGAACAAGTAATGAATGTGCATGTAGACTGACCTGTCTGTTCCCAGAAGTCTGGAGCTCTTTTTCTAGCAGCTCTAGGTCTGTGTGCACAGCCTTCAGGAGCAGTTGCAGACGGTTCCCGATGACGTGCACCCTCTCTTGGGCCTCCAGACACTCGCTGCCATGTGCCTGCACCAGCAGCTGCCCCGAGAGCTCCTGCAGACTGTCCACCTTCTGCTCAGTCTCCGTCAGCTCCCGCTGGATTTGCTGCAGACAAACGTGTATCAATGTAGTTTAGCTTGGCAAACATTTTGACTATGGATTAACTACAATTATTATAATGTAATGCCAAAAAACATTCTTTGACCTGTTAACTGGCACCCCCCTTTTTTTTGCATAGACATAAAAATCACTATCCAAACTTAAATGGTTGTAATTCAGGAATGCTTTGGAATATAGACCTATGGCTGGTCTTGTTTTAAAGAAGACATTTTCCAGATTATTGTAGAAGTCTAGAAATGATAAAAAATGAAACAGAAAAAAAGTTATATAAGTTTGAGTTTATGAAATGGTGTAATGTAAAAATATAATTATTAATATTTTATATAAAATATATATATTACAAAATATATTTTACTCTAAAACTGCAAGAAAATTAAAGACAAGAATCTGAACAAGTTGTATTCCAAATTTTAGGTTGATATCTAAAAAAATGAGCTTTCAGTAAGATTTTATTTGGGCGCAGTACCCAACTTTTTCACTAGGTGAACACCAGACTCCATTACTGCCCATATAAGGGCGCCTCCATTTTCATATATGTTTTGAGTGATTTGAACCATGTATTTCCATAATTTTCATACAATTTATGAAGTAGACATCCTATTCAGAAGTAGTATGGGTGGTTTGGCAGTATTTGATTTGAATTCAACCTCTAATAAATGCATAAAAAGACTACGTTATAGCGTTATAGCTCGCAGCCAATCAGAAATCGAGAATCCATACATTTTTCTTTATATTTAAAACATTTTCAGACCTTTTTTTCTCATAAAATGGAATTGGTGTTATCTTTTGAACTCATGGCATGAAAACAAACTGAGGTTTCTACCAATCTTTCATGATTTTTCGTGTTTATTGTTATTTCAAAATA